AGAGTACTTTATAGCTCAGGCTTTTTAAAAATTCTTTCTTCTTTCAAAAAAGTATTATTATGTTTTAAGTTTTAAAGGCAGTTTTCTGCTGATGGCAAGAATTATTTGCAAAATAGGTTGTTGCTACAGAACATTTGATAGCTAGAATAGTTTAGCACAATTTAGAAAACAAGTTAAAGTTTGACTTTAACTCTTGGAAGATTCATTAACTTCTCAGGTATATTCTGAGCACTAACATGAAAGTTTAATACTCTTAGCTTTTGCTTCAAAGGTCCAAATGTGTGTATTTTAATATATAAATTATATGTAAGTTATGTATGTTATATTGCTGTATTATATGTTATAAATAAACTACTCCTCTGTTAGAAACTGCACTCTCTAAAGATGAGGACTCTGTCCTGCTTACTGCTGTCTTCCTGATGCCCACAGCAGGACCTGACTGCTCAAAATGTTGAGTAAATAAATGAATGGAATCATATGCTTCCTGGAAGATAAACTGACTTTTAACTCACAACATGTGGTAAATTCATATTTTGGTTTTTGCCACTTAAAGCTGTCTTAATAACTATAGCTAAAATAGAAATTTTTCTTAACAGTCATTTTTGGTACAACTCTGATATATCCAATTTTGGATACTTTGTATTACATGTCTAAAGAAAGATTATGGTAATTTTGTTAAAGTACAATTTAACATTTCTGTTAAGGAGTAAATATCTATGAAAAAATATTGATAAGCATTAGCTTTGTGAAAGGTCCCTCCAAAAACTTCCTAAGATTATTTTAGAATACTGTTGTTATTTACAAGTATACTAAACCTACATAATAATTATCTTTTATTCTAGAACTTTGTAATTTTTTATTTCCAATGAAACAGTGACAACAAATTAGGGCTAACTTAGAATATAAATTTATCCATCTCTGGCAAAAAATTAAGCCACATTTCAAAGTTTTAAACATTTAAGCAATCATATATGAAAAGCAGTGTACTAGATGCCAGATGTCTTGTGTTCTTGAAAATTGTTTATTCTAATGAGGAGATAAGATAGGTACCAATGCAAAATAGAGTATATGTGTAAGCAACATTATCTGACAGTTCAATCTTGATTAATATAATGTTGTCATATACGGGTTACCAACTTTCAAAGGGCCTAAAACATTTATTCAGTACTAAAGCTCCTTGGACTACAGTTTAATCTTTCTTCGATGGTAGTTATGAAAAAAGAGCCAGGAAAGTTACTATTTATCAAATGGAGTCCTGTCTAGCTAAGAAAGAAGCGTGTGTGCTTCCTTCTGTTAAGCACAACATAGTGTTACAAATTTCTTACTGAAGATGCTTTTTTTGCTTTCCAGCACCTTCAGTAGTCATCCTGTCTTGTGAATAGCTCTGTCTCTGGTCTGAGTGTGGACCTTGCTAGTTAGAGTGTGGACCATGAGCCAGCAGTGCAAGACGTGGAAGCTTGTCAGAAAGGCTGCATCTTGAGCCCCTGCACTCACTGAATGAAGTCACAACCTGCATTTTCACAAAAGCCCAAGAGATTTGTATGCCCACTGAAATTAAGAGGCACGGGGTATAAATGGCCCTTCCCTCCCCTTTCTCATATTATCTTGGATTTCCTTCTTTGGTGGAAGCAATAGAAATGAATTGTTTGTGTGCTTTTGTTTCTGTTTGAGATTGAGAGAAATAGAACCATACAGTGTAAAAACCTCTTTCCCACGCAGAGGGACCTCCTGAAGCTGTATAATACCACTAATTGCCTACGGTATGAGCTGATGTTTCTAGATATGCCATATCTAGACATATGCCATGTCTCTGCCATGACACTATTATTCTCCCCCACTTACCTCCCCCTAGAATCAAATTAACCATCTGCATAACATCCTGATTACTTCAGCAGGAGAAGGAAAGGATGAGTTTGCAAACAAAGTGATGTTTTCAAGGCAGTCACTGTACTCCAATGACAGACACCTTACCAGGCATCCACCTGTGCTAGGCACTGCGCTAGTTGTTGGAAATAGAAGATCAATCTTTTGGGGGCTCTACCTTTAAAGGGACTGTTAGCCCATTAGGAATTATAGAGAATAAGATGGTGCTTGCAAGCAGTGAAGTCAGAGAGTTTACACTCCAGCCCCTGATGTTTACTTCCTCACTGTGTGTGTATCCTTAGACCAGTTACTGAGCCACACTCTGAGCCTCAGTTTTCTCACTGTAAAATGGAGATAATGACAGTGTGTTTTTGACAGAGTCATTGTGAGGATTAATTAAAACAATGCATGTTCAGGAGGTAGAGACCAACCTGAGCAGAGTGAGTCCCTGTCTTTACTAAAAAATAGAAAAAATTAGCCTAGCCTCGTGGTACGAAATCCCAGCTACATGGGAAGCTGGAAGCAAGGGGATTGCTTGTGCCCAGGAGTTTGAGGTGCATTGAGCTATGATGATGCCGCTGCACTCTAATCAGGGCAACAGAGCAAGGTTCTGTCTTAAAAAAAAAAAAAAAAAAAAGTAAAGTAGTTATTACACTAACAGGCATTCAGCATGTGTTATTTACAAGTAAGAGGGAATATAATTTGAGAAACATGGTAACAGAAGTGTGAATCAAGTTCCCTGGCAGTCGCATAGAAAGAAGTGCAGCCTAGGTTAGAAAGGAAATGTTGTAGAGAGTTTGCCAGAAGGTAAAACCTTTGAAGTGGATATTCAAGTTTTCCAAGCAGAGAAAAGATTAGAAACATTCCAAGCAGAGGAAATTTCAAATGCCCAATTCCAGCATTGTGAACATTTTTATCTGGATAAAAGTAAACAGTGTGGAGTGACCAGGATACAGAAAACTAAGGTGTAGAAAGAATGACTCAAAAAGTTTAACTGGGGCCATGTCATGGAAGGTTATTTGTGAAATTCTGAAATGTTTGAACTTTGAGAAAGTAAGAGAGGACCAATGAAGATTTTTAAGCAGGGCCATGTGATTCAGAGAAGTGAGATGGAAAAAAATGCATCTATGTTAGAGATGCTCCAATTTGTTCTCTCTTTCCTCAGCTCTCCTAAGCACCAGACACTGGTTTCTAGCTGGATGCAATAGTTGGATTTTCTCATATTCCAAAATCAATCTGGTATTCCCTATTCTGAAAAATAGCACGGCCATTCACTAACTTCATCAAGTTGAATATTCGTAGTCATTCCTGGGTCATCGTTTTCCAGGGCTCCTTCCTCCATTATCTCTCGCCCCCTCTCCATTCCACCTACCCTCTGCCCCAGTACTCCTCCTTCTGAAATTCTAAGTGGGACTTTACTTTTCACTCCTCACTATTACAGTTCTGACGGAGCCCTTATTTTCAACTTCCTTTAAAAAATATTCTTGAAACAACTTTGGACTTCATTAGTCCTTTATTGCTTTGAGCTCAGTATCCACATTCCATTCACATACACTTCCAGTTTTACCTCTGAATCTTAATCTTTAATCTGAAAACAGCTGGTGACTGCAACTAACACATTTAATTTTATTGAGTGGAATTGCAGAGATTTCTTGTGGGACATTATCTTAGAAGATTTCTTCCTAAATCTGCCACCTTCTTTGCAATTACTTGAACCAGCTGGATGGGAGAATAAATTGTTACTTAAAATGTACTGGTTTTTCTTGACAAGGAACTGCTTTGATTGTTTTGAATCTCTTACTTACCAAAGGTTGAAAGGGTATCCTCCGAAGCTGTTGGAAATGATCATATCAAGCTGTCATTGCCCAGATTTTGGATACAGTGACAAGAACACTGTGATAAAATTCTATAATTTACCTTCTATGTATTCCTGATACAGTAAAGCATATATGGCTGGTTTTCCAGATGGGTACCTGTATCTCTCAGGGTTTATTAGCAAACAGTTTTAAACTCTAACATGGTTCTCTCAGCCAGAGAGTGGACTTTGGTCTTCTTAGCTGTTCTATCTTTTGAGTATTCAGTTTAAGAAAACACACTGCACATGTAGAAAGGGACTAGATAAGTTGTTTCCAGGCAGAGTTCATCTACTTTTAAAAGGAACCCAAACTGTCAAGTATTTTTACTGCTGTTTTCAAAAATACCTACTTAGTTTATTACTACGTTCTTACAGAAAATACCATATGAGAGCCCAGTATATACAAATATACAATTGAAAAGTTAACAGAACACTTCAAAATGTTTTGCATTTTATAGGATTCTATTCTTCATTTTCTCTGTTATAATTTAACATTTCCCTGAAAAGTATCCTTGTTTTAATTTACTACTAGAAACAAGTTTTAGATATGATTAATCCTATAAATATAATAAATGAAGAAAAAGTTATATGTGTATAAATAAAATATCAAAGGCTGATGTTTATGTTTATTTTATATGTGTATGTATAAATATATATATGTATATGTCATATTGATAATTAAACTTAGCATGTGATAAAATAATATAAATAGTAAAATTGCTCCTTCAGAATTTGCTTTTGTAAGGTAAATTCATATCTTTGTGTGAATTTTAAATATGCTTGAAGATCACAGTAATTCTTTCAATAAGAGGGCCTTTATGAAGCTTTTTAAAAATAGAACAGAAAAATCGAATTCAAGTTATTAAGTTGCTAAATACATTCTTATATAGGCAAGGTAGTGGCCTATATACTTGCAGAAAGACTTTAGAATTGTCACTTAACTGTTACAGTTTATGGAGATTTGGCTTCAATGTATTTTACTAAGAATTTAGATACTGTTTGTAGATATTTCTTGGTGAACAATTATAGGCATTCCCCAAGTTACAAACAACTGACTGACATACAACTTGCACCTACAAATGGAGGCTGCTATAGGTAATCGGTAAATGTACCTGTTTCAGCTTACATACAAATTCATCTTAAGAACAAACCTATAAAACCTATCTTGATTGTAGCCCACGGACTGCCTGTGCTTTATTTTAAATTAGAAAAATAATCTTCCTTCATCAAGCAGGTGAAAGAGAAATCATGATTCATGAAAGTATTTTATTTTGTCTTTCAGACCTGAAGATTACCGGCTATAAGAGAATGAAAATTGCAGAAAATAGCAGGGAGGTGACTGAAACTTTCTTCTGCTGAGTGACTCTAAGCTACAGGGCAGAGTACAAGAACCGCTACAGCTCAGCACCTCGTACAGGTGCTGAATATTTGTGAGGAAAGGTCTGGAAGGATATTCCTTCAATAAGAAATTACAATAAAATATACTATTTAATAGAATTGTTTTATTATGTAATCTTACTTGAGTGTTTTACATGATAATAAGAATAAAATTGCTTACCTGGTTAACTTTTCAATTTTGCATTTAATGAATAAATAAACCGTATCTATAACCGTTATATGTTATATCCGTTATATCTATAACCGTTATATGTTCCCCCAAAATTCACATTTTTACAGAGACAGAATCTCTCTCTATCACCCAGGGTAGAGTGCTATTGAGTTATAGCTCACAGCAACCTCAAAGTCGTGGCCTCAAGCGATTCTCTTGCCTCAGCCTCCCAAGTAGCTGGGACTGCAGGCACCTATCATAGCACCTAGCTAGCTTTTTTATTTATTTTTAGATACGGGGTCTCACTCTTGCTCAGGCTGGTCTCAAACTCCTGAGCTCAGGCAATCTACCTGCCTCTGCCTCTGCCTCTGCCTCTGAGAGTGCTGGGATTACAGGCCTGAACCACCATGCCTCTCACTGCCTGCCCTTTTGCCACTGACAGTGTATGTAACAACCTGATCTGTCCACACCCTGAGAGCACAACCACAAGGAGCCCATTAAGAATTAGAGCTCCCTATAGGGGATTCCATCATGGAGGAAGGCAGGCCAGTCGGATCCTAGAATAGCAGCTCCTATTGAAGGAAAGTGAGCAGAAGGAGCAGAAGGGAACTTTCAAAAAGTAATGATTCTTAAGAAAAGGAACCCTAATTATTCCTAGAATTGAGTGGGAAGCACAAAAAGCTAACATATATTTTCTGTTACTATATGTGTCTATAAAGTGCTAATTAGTGCAGATAAATGAGAACTCAATCACCAAAATTGTATTTGTTGATAAGCAATTTTTCCCTAGGTGACGATGGGTTGGATACTACCAGATAAATGTGAGAGCATCATGACCTGGGAAGAAGATACAACACACCTTACCTCTCTTACCTCATTTTATCCGAGTGCACTACCTCTGTGATTTATCCCACTGTATTACAACCTTCCATACTTTCTCAGTAAAACATAAGTGGCCTATTATAGCTAGCAAAGAAAAAGCCTTAAGTATTCCAAAGTTTTGGCATAAAGAGAAAATGTGATGTTGTGAAAGCCAGTGAGCCTAAAGTAATCACACCGATGAACTTAGCAGGCAACACTAAAGACAAAAGAAAAGATTAACTTCCCAGTAATCTTCAGCTGTCCAGAGAACTGGGAACTGAAAAGTACTTGCAGTAGGTTGAAGATAACTATAAACCTCATGCAGCATTAATGCACTGTGTGTCATGATTTCATTTGGAGCCACACAAAAAAATTATAAAAGGGAGTAACTAACAAAGTTATATTTCTGTTATAAGCCAGTTTGAAGGAATGAAAAACAGGACAGTAAGCCACAGCTATCTTCCTGTTGCCTATATGTGTTTTCTTTCAAGACGTAAGCACTCAAGTCTTCTGCCCATTTTTAATAGGGTTGTTTTCTTGTTACTGAGTACCTTGAACATCTTACATATTTTAGATCCTAGCCCCTTATCCAATTTGTGGTTTGCAAGTATTTTCTCCCAGTCTATGGGTTATCTTTTCATTCTTAATTGTTTCCTTTGCTGTGCAAATACTTTTTAGTTTGATGCAATCCCAATTGTCCATTTTTGCTTTCATTCTCTGTGCTTTGTGGGCTAAACCTACACAAGAAATCATTGCCTACGCCAGTGTCCTGGAGAATTTTCCTTGCGTTAGTAGTTTTACAGTTTCAGGTCTTACACTTAAAGCTTTAATTCATTGTCTTGTATTCACGTGAAGGGTGAGAATACTTGTATTCACGTGAAGGGTGAGAATAGGGTCCATGTTCATTTTTCTGCATGATATCCAGTTTTCCCAACATGATTTATTGAAGAGACCGTCTTTTCCCCTGATTTGCATTCTTGGCACTCTTATCAAAAATTAATTGACCTTCAGTGTGCATTCATAGCTCAGCTCTCTGCCCTGTTGCATTCATCGATATGTCTGTTTTTATGCCTGTGTCATGTTGTTTTGATTATCATAGCTTTGTGATATATTTTGAAATCACGTTGTGTGATGCCTCCAGTTTTCTTTTTGGGCAATATTTCTTTGGCTATTTGGGGCCTATTGTGGCCCCATGTGAATTTTAAGATTGTTTTTCCTGTTTCTGGGAAGAATGATACTAGAATTTTTGAAAGGGATTGCAGCTGTACATTATTCTGTGTAGTATGGACATTTTAACAATAGGCTTCTAATTCATGGACATAGGATATCTTTCCGTTTATTTGGAAACAAGACGTGTTTCCTAGAGGTGTTTATAGTGAAAGAGTGTGGTTTTGAGCTATGAGGAATGGCCTCATATGAGCTATGAAGAATTTCTAGCTTCATGGAAGAAAGAGCATAGATCTTTCATAGATATCTGTTCTCAACACAAAGAAGGACTATTTAAGGTGATGGATATGCTAGCTAGCCTGTTTTGATCATTCCACAACCATGTATTGTGGAATGTGTTACACGTATTAAAATATCACATTGTACCCCATAAATATATATGATTATTTGCAAGAATAACTTTTTAAAAGAACTATGATCTTCTTCCATGAAGCTAGAAATTCCCCATAGCTCATGTGAGACCATTCCTCATAGCTCAGAAGCTACAATCTTTCATTGTAAGCACTTCTAGGAAATTTCTGTATCTTGTCAAAATAACATCCTATATTTACTATGGTAATACTTTATCAGGAAATTATGATGTTTAGAACTGTGGTAGCTTTTTTTTTTTTTTTTACCATATACTGACAAGACTTCAAGTTTTTAGTTTTTTGCCCCAAATCCATTTTACCATAGCCTTGTTATTTTTGGAATGCAAAATTCCATCATGCAGGATTTTTAAGAATGCAAATATTACATTACAGGACAATCAACTGTACTCACTGTAATTATTGGCTTAGCACGCCCCCCTGCTAGTCTGATTTCTCTCCCAGAGTCCTAGCAGTTCTCACCTCCCCAACTACAGAACACAGGGCCACAGGGAAGATACTATACAGTAAGTCTGGTGTGATGTCTGGGTTGGAGTAGGGAGCATCTCACTCTAATGCTTCCTAAACGATCATTTAGCAACTGTTGTCAGAGTCTTCCTCATCTCCAGGCATAGAATACCTCAGAGTTTTAATCATGACCTAGCACATGGACCAAGATAAATCTAAGTTTTAAAGCACTCTTTACAACTATTCTTTGCCCAGACTTCTATCCTTTCCTTATCCTAATTCCTCTCTAATGCAAAATGGCTACTAGCAATTATGATTGGTGAGAGTAATAAATAACATCTCTTGCTTTAGACAAGCTGAAGCATATGCTGGCCCAAAGCCTTGGTTGATGGTGGTATATATTTGTTTCTTATAGCGAGAGGGTCTCAATATGTTGCCCAGGCTGGTCATGAAGTCCTGGCCTGAAGTGATCCTTCTGCCTTGGCCTCCCAAAATGCTGGTTTTATCAGTACCACACCCTGCCTAATCCTACCATCTTTAAAAGAGATGTAGGGCAGAATTTTCTACTTAATAAGAGTTTTACTGAGAAGGTTTAATGTGGATGAAGGAGGTTTTCAAAATTGCATGGACACTGCAGTTTATCAGATTTCTACTATAGTTTCTCTCCTTTTTTGCCGATTCCCTCTAAGCCAGGTGTAGACACTGTCACTATGTATATAACTCACCTTTTTTCTATGCTGCAATTGACTGATTTGTTTTCCTAACTTCTCTTGGAAAAGGGGGTTAGTACCACCTTCAGCCAAGAACAACATTAACTCTCCAGGTCTCTCCTGGCTAAAAATTTCCCCATGGAACAGGTAGCAAGGTCTGAGTCTACAAAACCTAGAAGCCCCGGGAGAGATTCTGCTGCCAATCTCTACAATGCGGAGTTTGCATTGGATAGAACCCTATTTAAGAAGGCCTGATCTTTCCAAGACAGACATTAAGGCTCCATTTCAACTCAAGGTCTTGCAGAGGAATAGTATTTCTCCCATTCTGCCCAAAAACCTAAATAGGAGGGTTGGGTAGTTGCAGCATCACTACTGCTCAGAGCTTCACCTTAGAAGAACGTGTATCTGAGATTGACTACCTATAAAGCTTACAATCAGCTCCATCTGAAGGCCAACTTTTATTAAAGTAGCTGCTGGAAAGGTGAAGATCTATTTTCCACGTGAAGACAGCACAAACAAGACCTCTGACGGAGGCACGCATTTGTATCAGTGCCATCTGGTCCACGGAAAATTCTGATTTCAAACAAATCTTTGTTTCAAGACTGAACTCTGCTTTCACTTTTCCATCCCAAAGTTAATACCTCTGAAAATCTTGCAAACATTGCTAGAAGACTGTTCTGTTTGCTGTGGGACACCTGTGCTATTAGATTGATGTTATGGAGCTCCAGCCCTTCCACCTGTATTAAGTTGTTTAGAATCAACCCTTTGAAATTTTGATACCATTTGGCATCTTCTTTAGCAATCACAAAACTTAAAAAGAGTTTAGCTATTTAGAGAAAATTCTGAGTAGAAAGCTTCTGTCTCTTACTTTTTGGCAAAATCACATAGTTCAAATATTTGTATAACCTGCTAGAAGATTATTACTAGTTATTTTACTACCAGAAGGCTGTTACCAGCATAATGTATGCACAGAGCCAATGAATCATGGAGACATGTGAATATATGTGCTCTTCAGAAAATGTAATCTGCAAGTCTAAACCTTGCTGCAGAGATGAAGTAGCCAACTCTCAGCAAGGGAGCAGCTGCTACATGTCTTTCAGTCATTCAACCAGCATTCATGTCCCACAAACTATCATAGGTGTTTGAGACGAGTATGTGAGTTAAAAAAGTTTTCTGTTACCATGAGATATATTTTGGTGAAGAGAGGCAGATAACAAACACGTATGCAATATTTAAATGATATGAAATGTAAGTTATCGACAAGTTATGTTAGTAGGTATTGTGTGGGATTTCTCAGCTATTGCCACAATAATCCCCCATGACACCACTCAAAACTTTTACATGGTTATTGTTATTTGTTTTTTCTCATGCGCTCACCTCCTCCAAACTGTAGTTGGGTCCAGGTC